CCGTATATCGTCTTTTCGCATTAAAAGTGTACAATTTCCAAAAATATTCGAAATTAAGTTAATATGCGGAATTATTTGGTATCACCAGTATTTTTCTCATAAATACTATCAAAAGAGCGTAGTTTAGTTTTATTTTTTTTTATTTAGTTTTCCTATATTTTCAACCACTACCAAAATTTACAAAAAAAAAATTAATACCAATTAAAATAATTTTCTTTACTTTAAAAAAAAAGGAAAGAATTGTTAGAAAACAGAAAACTGAAAAAAAAAACTGGAATAAAAAAAAAAGAAAAAAAATTGTTTGGCCAAAAGAAAGAGAAAAAAAAAAAAAAGGAATGATTTTATATTTAAAAAAAAATAATTTTCCTCAATTTATTTTTGTTAAAAACCTTTTTTTTTTTTTAAAAAAAAACCCCCCCCCACTCTTTTTTCCTGTTTAAAAAAAAAAATTTTTTAGGTGAAAGTTTTAAAAAAAAGGGATTAATTTTTTCCGTTTTATTTTAAAATGCGAAGAAAAGGGAACCGATATTTTAAAAAATGAATTCGGCCCCCAGGGTTTTGTAAGCGCAAACCAGATGTCCCTTCTTTTTTCTTTCGGAGGGGGCCAGGGGGCCCTAACGGTAAATAAAAACGGTTTGCTTTTGTGGAAAAAAAAAAAAAATATTTGGATGAAGGGCGGCCTTTAGTTGGATATTTTGAAAAACGGTCGCGGGTCCCCCGGTTTTTACGTCGGGTGAATTGAAACAATCTTTGGTTTTTTTGCGGGGAATGTTTAAAAAAAAAATTGGGATTTTTTTGCGGGGTGGATGTTTGCAAATGTTCCCATTGGGAGAACAATACCGTGGGGGGGGGGGTGGTTCGGGGGGGATTTGGTTTTTCCCCCCGTTTTCCCCCCCGGGATTATTCCCTTCCGAGGTTTGGGGGGGCTTTTGTTACCCATCGGGGGGAGAACGCCCAAAAAACTCCGGGAAACCAATTTTGAAAAATAAAGGCCGGGGGAAAAAAAGGGTTTCCTTGTTTGGAACCCTGCCTCGGGGTCAAAGAAAAAAAAACTTTTTTAATAGGGTGGGGATTGTTTTTTTTTTTTTTTTTTTTTTTTTTTTTTTATTTTTTTTTTTTTTTTTTTTTTTTTTTTTTTTTAAAAATTTGGGGGGGGGTTTCACCCGGGGGGGGATCAATTTTTCCCCGGGGAAGCCCGGCCTTTCCCTTTTTATTTTTGATTGTGTTAAAAACCGCCCCAGTTTTTCTTTTTGGGGGCTTTTATTTTCCCCCTTTCTTTTCCCGTACTTTTTTCATTTTCCATTTCCCCCCCATTCATAAAGTAACCTTTTGGGGGGGCTTTTCCCTTAAAGGGGGGGGCGGGCTGGGGGCGGGTTTTACCTAAAAAAACAGCGGAAAGGGTAAGTTTAGGCATGGTTTGGGGTGGGGGACTTTCTTTTTTTTTTAATTTTCCTTTTGAATTTAAAGCTTTATTTAACCCATTTTCTTTTACCTTATTTTTCTTTTTTTTAACCCTTCCAAAAAAAACTGGGGGGGGCGTGAGCGGTTACCCATTTGGGTTGACCCGAAAGGAAAACGCTTTTGAGAGTGTTTCCCCTTTAGGTTGTTTGAAGACTTAGACCCCTTGAGGGGGTTTTGTGTACAAATAAAGGCAACGACCCAAAGTAGTTGAAAGGAATTTGGGTTAAAAAAAATTTAAAGGTTTAATACTGGGTTATTTAAAGAAAGAATTTTATGTTTCCCTTAAGAATTTGTTCCCTTTTTTTTAGATTTTAAAAAAAAAAACCCCTTCCTTCTTTTTTTTATTAAATTGTGGTTTTTGAGGTTTAGGGGGGGGGGCCGCGCCCTTTATTTTCAAGGGGGGGGGACAGAAAAAAAATTGGGTTTCCCCTCCGGGCCCCCCCCCGAAACCAAAGGGGTTTTTTTGTGCATTTTAAAAAGTGAAGGTGGTTTTTTCCCCCGGCGCCCATTGGGAAGGTTCCCTTTTTTGGAGGGGGGGGGGGGCCCCCCCCCCCCAGTCGGACCCTTTTTCCAAAAGGTGGAATTTCGGGGTTTTTTTGGGCTGAAAGGGCCAAAGGTAAAAACTGGACAAACTTTCCAGGGGAAGGGCCCCACCGGTGCCCCCCAAACTGGGGGAACCTGTCACCGGGGTAAAAAGGGTACAGGGATTGGGGCAGATAGGCTGGGGGCTTCCTCCCCCTTTTTGGGCCCCCCTTGAAAAAAAAACCTTTGGGGGGGGGGGCCCCCCGAATTAAAACTTTTTCCGGGGAAGAAAACAACCCCCAACCCCCAGGGCCCTTCCTCCCCTGGGGTGTGGAAGGGCCCCTTTGTGGTGGCTTTACCCTCCTTGGGTTCCCCATTTTTCCCCCCCCCCGGAATTCCCCCCTTTTTTTTCTTGGGGGGGGGGGGAAACTTTTTTAATCCCTACCCCCCCCTTGTTATTTTTCCCTTTTTTCGGGACCCCCCCATTTGGGGGGAGTTTAAAAAACCAGGGGGGGGGCCCTTGTGGACTGGAAGGCCGGGTTTCGTTTTTCGGGCCCGGGGCTTGTTACCCCCTTCCGATTTTTTCCCCCCATTCCGGGCCGAGGCCGTTGGGGGTTTTTTGTATTCCCATTTATTTGCCGGAGGGGCGATTTTAAAAAAAACGCACCAACCTCCCGGCTTTCCGCCCGGGCCGAAAAGAATGCTTCGCGAATGAGACCGGACACCGGTCATAGTTGGGTTTCTTCTTCAACCTCAGGGCGGCCGCTTTAGCCAGGGCATCGGCCCTCTCATTCCCCTCAAGTCCCGCGTGAGCCTTAATCCAAAACAAGGAGACGCTCTTGCCCTGCGTTTTGCAGTGACTAAGAGCGCCCCTCATCCGGACCGCAAGGACGTGAAGGGAATCCGGGTCAGCCACTGTCTGAAGGGCCGCCATGGAGTCGCTGAAGATGGCGAAAACGTTCTCTTTTCGCCGGCTGATCTCATTTGCAGCTTCACAAAGGGCCAAGAGCTCTGCCTGGTAGACGGTACAGTGGGGCGAGAGAGCAAGTTTGAGGGTTTTGGCTTCGGCCTCGCCAGTCCAGATGGATAGCGCGGCCCCGACCTTGCCCTCAATCCTACTCCCGTCCGTAAATATACGCACCTCATATCCTCGATGTTCGAGATATTGCTCCTCGTCTACCAGACTTCGTAGCTCTATCCCAACTTGTTCCGCTGGATGAGGCCTCTCCAGTGCCGATGCCACCCGCTCGATATCCCTGTCTCCCAGCACCGGCAGATGCGCCCCCCTCTTGGCCACGTATAGCGAGGCCATCTCGCGTACGCGTAGGTCAAGGGGGAGCACCCCTGCCAGCACCAGTGCTGAGTTCAGGGATACCGTTCGGTAGGCTCGACAGAGCTTCTGTGCGAAGCTACGCTGGACCGCGTTGAGGCGCTTCCGCACTCCCAGTTTGTTTGCGGCTGGCGCCCACGCGCTCGAGGCATACAGGATCACGGGTTCAACCACTGCGATGTATATGGTCTTGATAACTTCGGGGTGCAGACCCCAGCCAACTTTGGCTGCCCTGGTTAGCCTTTTGTATAGGTTTGCGGCTTTAGCGCAAACATTGGCAACATGGGTGTTAAATGTAAGTTTATGGTCGATGGTGAGCCCTAACAACAGTACCTCCTTAGACATGCCAATGTCTACCCCGCCCATGCTCAGG